AAAAAAAAAAAAAAGCAAAGTCATGTTGATAATTTAGAGGCATTAGAAATATATGCTTCAAATATGATCCAGTAGGCTTGATGGTTAAGCATGTTTCTAATGAGCTAGTTTAACTTGACTTGAGTCAATTTCCATAAAATTATCTTTACTTTTACTTAAATATGACAATTGGAACCGACTAAAGGAACAGACCAAATGTAAGTCCTTCTTCAATGAAAATTTGTGCTACCTCATGGCAGCTCTCGGATTATATTATGAATCAGTGATATTTAGTATCAATGGCAACATGGTGCAGAGCTTTTTTTGATTCACGAATAATGTTTCAGAACTTCTGTGGAATTCAAGATTTTCAAGTGAATAATGACTTGAAACATTCAAATGATGATGGAGGCCGAGTATTTTTGGCAAGCGTGGCCTCTATGTCGCTTTTGACAGGGTAGTTTGTAAACGGTGAGGAACACGGTGATTCTGTGACGCTTCAGATCCATCATCATGTGATGGAGAGACTAGATGATCAGAGGGTGTAGAGCAGAGGTCGAGGGATATGAGGGGAGAGAAAAGGACGTGACAGAGGGTTTGGGACATCTCTGGAGGCCAATAACGGACTCACAGATTGATACTGGGCTGTTGAATGATGTGGCAATCATCTATGTGGCAGAGGTGACCCCTGCTATTGCATTAGGAGGCCATGAGATAGTCATTTGACAACTTATGAGTAACCCATATTTTTACGGACAAATGTTGAAAGTGGCAACAGTAGCACAGGGACATGGACCGTAAGCAGTCACACCGAGTCAAACCGGCTGCTACCTCTATGCTGGATAGAATATCCATAGGAACTTTATTGAAGAGCTGATGCACAATACTTAATGACATCTGATAAGATTTAAATGGCAGCTGGCAAATATCTAGATAAGAATCATACTAGTAATTGTATGACCCACCATGGCAACATATGCAAAAAGTGAATTAAAACACCTAAAATTATAAATGAAAGTGAAGTGAAAGTGATGTGACGTGACGTGTGCAAGTATGGTGTCCCATACACAGAATTTGTGCTCTGCATTTAACCAATCCAAGTGCACACACACAGCCAGCAGTGAGTAGTGAACACACACACATGTCTGGTCAGCTATCCTTGTGGGGACTCTCCATAGGTGTAATGGTTTTTATACTGTACAGACTGTATATTCTATTGCCCTACACCAACCCTACACCTAAACCTACCCCTTACAGGAAACTTTCAGCATTTTTAGATTTTCAAAAAACTTCATTCTGTATGATTTATAAGCTTTTGTACCCGTGGGAACCACAATTTAGGTCCCCACCGTGACACGAGTCCCCATGAGTCTGTGTGTATTCAGGTTTAAGTCCCCACCAGAATAGAAAAACAGATACACACACACACACACACACACACACACACACACACACAGAGAGAGACAGACAGAGAGAGAGAGAGACAGACAGTAGCTAAAAAGTAACTAAGGCCAGTGAAGCTTAACAGGACAGTATCTTTGTAAATAAATCATATCACCTGATAGTCTATAATCAAAGTATTTACACAAAAACATTGAGCATTTCAATTATGATGACTAAACATGAACAT